TTCAAAAGCAAATATCAAAGAGTTGTTTGGGGTTTTTTTTCCCCCTTTAAATCAAGATTAAAAGAAATGTGCAAAGAAAAGAAGTAACCTGGGATTAAGATCTGCCTTAAAATAATTAAGAAGTTAATTCAGGGTTTAAAACAAGTCCTAATTTCCCATGGTTACATTTCCAAATATTCAAACTGCCTAGTTTCTCAAGGCCACTATTGCAACTGTAGGAAAAATATGGGCTCACTTTTGTAACTGTAGATAAAGCTTTAAAGTAGGGGAAGGAGGCACTTTGTTTTGGGAACCCATTTCAGGCCTCTCATGTTATTCTGTAGGAAACAATAGTCCTGATGGATGTCCAACCTAGCAAGGTCAGGATCTAATTGTAAAAGCCACCACTTCCGGGTGGGTGGAAAATAGAAGGGCCAAGGTGGAAGCAGGGACTTAGGTGCAGAGGTGTCTCCTAAAGTCCAAGAGATTGACTGTTTACATGTAGAATATTAAATTATTTCATCAGTGATTATCATTCTTAGAGATAACATTTGTTTTTAATTTTTATTCCTGTTCCTTTGAATTAGCCTTTTTCCTTCTCAAAGTTGATTCTGTTGCTATTTCTGTTGTTGATTCTGTTGATATTTTTTCTATTACATTTTGTTCTTTAATATATTTAATATTTATCCTAATAATTTACTCCTATATTTTATGACATTTTTTGTACAGTAACTGAGAAGTTACTATAAAAACATCCTAATTGAATGGTTTAATAGAATTGTTTTAACAAATACCATAGTATCACAAGATTTATGATTTGATTTGATTTGATTTATCATATGATTTGTGATATGACAAAGAATGTAATAGATCCAATGTTATTTTCAAAAAGCTACAGTGTATCTATTTGCTAATACAACCTTGATAACATTTTACCAGGAATTAAAATATACATAACTTTTTAGACTTGTAGGTTTTCTGTTTGCATATCTATTTATGTCTTTTTTTAAAACATTTTTTAATTGAGACTATAACTCATATCTATTTATGTCTTAAAGTAACTTTAGTAACCATATGTGCAATAATTTTAAAGCTTTGGCAAGAAAAAATCATAAATAAAGTAACATTTCCCTCATGCACTAGTTTGCCTAGTTTATTGTTATATTATTATTAGTTAATTGTGGGTAATATCTAGCATTTATTGATTACTGTTAAAAAAACAAAATTCAACTGAGTTAAATTTAAAAATCTTTTTGGCTCTACTGAACAATTCATGAACTGGGCAGCATCTCATCTAGCAAATAGAAGGGAGCTCTGAATAGCTGTACAAAATGGCAGACTTTTATAAGCAAAAAGAGGCAAGACAAGGAAGTTACTCTAGCAAAGAGCTGATTTTTTTCAGGCATGGTCACCTTCATTTGGGGGTTGACTGGGACCTATCAGATGGATTACCTGACTAGTGCTGATTAGGTAGTTCCAGAATGGACCGGTTTAGGTTTCCATTCCTGGGGGAGGTCAAAACTATAATTGTGTTAGATATCAAGTCTTGGTTTGGTGATGTGGGCTTAGCATAAGTGACTCCATTTTGGATTAGTTTCTTTTTTAACATCACTTGTCTGCAAAGTATGTATTAATCACATTTTTTACATTTCATGAAACTTTTGTCTCATTTTTTGTAGTTAACATGAATATTTTGGTATAGTTGCTATTGTAACATGGATATCTCATAATTTAGAAGAAAAATGGAATTGAGAATAATTGTACCATCTGTAATAGCTTCCACTCGCTTAATATTTGGGTAAAAGTATTATTCTAAGCAGGCTATCCAATATCATGAACATGAAGTAATCTGAGTTTTGATTTCTCTTTGCTCCCATCTAAATACCCAATTGAATTGAGCACCCATAACTTTAAGCCAGAATCTCTAATATGTAGTTGTTTTTAAAAACAAATCATTCAATCATACCATCTTTAGATAGAATATCATAATTCATGTTTACTACACACCTGTAATTTAGTTTACTGGCCACACCACAGAATGAAAATAAAATATGATTTCCAGTATAAATGACTTTTTTTTAATCTATCTGTACTGAGCAAGCAATAAATTGTAGAACATGCAAGCCCTTGCTGTCATTCCTTATCTCCTGCTTAGTGTGCGAATGAGTTATTCATGCATAGACTTTGTGATATTGGCACTGTATTTGCAATATCTTGGTCAAAATGTCAACAGTACCAGTAACTCTGTCTAGGATATGTAGGATCAGGGTCCTCAGAGCTTAAACAGGGAATCCTCACCTTGTAGTCAATTTCTCTGGAGTTCTTATGATGGAACTTGGCACATTGGAGTGGTCCAAGTGTCAGCTTTGGGTAGTGGGAACCCTTGGGGTTGAATCTTATCTCTGCTATGTTCTAGCTGTGTGACTGGGCAAACAATTCAGTCTCATCTGGTGGAAAACAATAGTACCCTCTCCTATAAAACCACTTAGAACACTGCCTGTATTGAATAGATCCTAAATAAATGGTGATGGTTTTATTAATAGTAAACTCTGTCTTTAGAATAGGTTTTCTTTAAAACTGGTTAAGATCCTTTCTGATATTATTTTAAAAAATAATATTTTGAAATTATGAGTGGGGGAGGGCAGTAGGTAGGGGAGGAATATCCAGTTCTTTAAAAGGAAATGTTAAAGGGCATCATTCACAGCTCACTCTCCTGGCAACATCCTAAAGCCAAACTTTCGTTAGCTCTTTTACATTTAAGATGTCGCACCTTTTGTGCTCATATCCATTAGAAAAAAATGAAATGTAATTAGTAATATCTAAGAAAATGTTCCACTTGAGAACAATAAAGGACCAAATAAACCTTTTGCCTTTTGATGACTCGACAGGGATCTTCGGAACCTAGTGATTGAAATGGTTTTATCTACAGACATGTCGGGTCACTTCCAGCAAATTAAAAATATAAGAAACAGTTTGCAGCAACCTGAAGGGTAAGTTATTTTATTTTTCATATTAAAGCTTTATGGGCTTACACTCAGAAAAGACTGTAATTGGTTACTTCATTCTGATAATTTGAGCATGTCTTTGTTTTGACAGGCTTGACAGAGCCAAAACCATGTCCCTGATTCTCCATGCAGCAGACATCAGTCACCCAGCCAAATCCTGGCAGCTGCACCACCGATGGACCATGGCTCTGATGGAGGAGTTTTTCCTACAGGTGCCTCTTTCACACTCTGTGTCTGTGCAGATGTTTCTGGAAATAGTGGCTGCTGTACACATTGACATACATCTTTTCTGTACAGAATCCAGGACTTCTGTGACTTACTATTATCAACTAGCTTTCAACAACACATTCTTGGAACTTTAGGCAGAATTTATTAATCTTTCAGATAAATGTATTAAATAGTCCTGTGTAATGTAATACATGGTTTAAAGAGTGTCAAGTATTGGATCTCAGATACCACTCTCAAGAGAGAAAGAACTAAGCAAATTAGAGTTGTTATCTGCTGTTAAAAGGTAAAATGCTAGAGCAGAGATAGCCAATAGCTGTCATCACAAAAGGGGGAAGGGAGGATATATAGCACTTCTGCATACATCTTGTTGGTGAGAATTTAGTTATATATGCATAGTTGCAAGGGTGGCTGAGAAAAATAGCTGGGTGAACACATGCCTAACTACAAAAAATAATATTGTTCTGTGAAAAAGCAAGCCTGGATATTGTCAATTAAAAAATTAATCAATAGTCGACCTAAGAAAGAAATAGAAAATTTTGTTTGAGCCAAAGTGAGGATCATAACCTGGGAGACAGTCCCTCAGAGAGCCCTGAGAATTGTTCTGAAGAGTTAAGAACTAAAGGGGGAGCTTAGTATATAAGTGATTTTGGTGAAGGGGTACGTGCAATGAGCACACATCTCAGTAAAAGGTTACTGCTCGTCATGAGGAATAGACATCTTAGTTAATGGTTGTAGTGCTTTTCTAAGTAGGGGAAGATGCAAGAAGCCAAGTGCATAAAAAATTCCTCCTGAAAATATATAACTGAGGGCCAGTTCTGTCGGTTTTCCCCCAGCAAAAAGTGCCTCATCCTGGTCTTCGCCCTGAGTTCCTTTCAGGGTGACTGTAGGTCAGCAACTATAGTGGCTAGTGACTTGATTCTTGTAGGGCTAGATGGTGGGCAGCATTCTTTATTTTACAATCCCTCTCTTTCAGTCTTAACTTTGACCAAGATTTGGGAGACATTTCAACACCAATGGTCTAAGAATGCTCATCCCCAGGTCAGGCGAGGATTTTGTTGATAGGCCACTCAATGTACTGTTATTGGACTAAACCTTGTTATCAGTGGCCAAAAACCTCTGGAATGCCTATCATACTAGTCTGTTATGGTCCAGGAAATGTTTCCTTCTTGTTGCTTCATCCCATATCTAAATTTACACCATTACAATTGTTTATCTTACAGAACTGTATATTTGATCAATCATTTCAAGTCTCCTTATCATCATTAATTTTATCTGAGGCTTAGTCACACATTTGGTAATGCAAAACACAATAATCTTGTAAAATAGGCAGAATTCAAGTAATATAGCTGGTAAAACTAATAAGGTCATAAATATATATTTAAGCTAAGAACTTCATTAGGTGCAGCCCAGCATCTCACCAGGTCGTCTGACCAGTCTGTTCTGCAACAATCTCTGTCTTTAAGGGTAATGATATATTGGTATTGTACATAAAGTTCACTAAAGATGTCTGTATGCACAAGGTGAGTGATGGGTCATTGTGACCCCTTACAAGACTGAGAAAGAAATGTTATCTTCTAAGGAGTTACATGGCTGGTGCCAGAGGAGAAAAATTGATCTTTGTGGTTGAGCAGGTATTTCTGCCACTGGGGAGGTCTGGTTAACACAATGTAGATGCACAATGCACACTAGAGGGGCGGGAGGAGGCCCAAACTAGCAGAGTGAAAATTTATGTTTAAATTTTTCTTGTCTTCTCTTAAAAAGTGAATTTATACTTCATCAATATGGAGGATGACCAGTGTTCTCTACCATAAGTATACATTTTATCCCCTATCATGTTTCTGTTCTGTTTCCACTCCCATTTGCGGTACTACAACACAATGAGTCAAATTACTCAGGAAAGTGTTATACTTACAATTACAGTTTTACTGTAAAGAATACAGCTCTACAACTCAGGAACAGGCAAACGAAACAGTGCATAGGGCAAGGTCTGGAAGGGTGGAGCTTCTATGCGCTCTCCCCCACAGAGTCAAGGCTTGTCGCCTTCCTGGCACACCAGTGTGTTCAACCAGCAAGGGCCACTGAGCCTTGGTATCAAGGGGTTTTATGGGGGTTTTGTTACTTGGGCATGACTGAATTATTGGCCATGTGATTGAATTCAATCTCCAGTCCTCCTTTCCTCCCAGATCAGGCTGGCCCAAAGTTCCCACCCACTAATCATGTGGCTGATCTTTCTGGTGATGATCTTGAAGCTACCAAGGGGATCCGCCATGAGTCACATAATTGGCATAACAAAGAGTCTCCTATGACTCAGGAATTTCCATGAGTTTTTGAAGCTCTCTGCCAGGAACCAAGGGCAAAGATCATATTATTATTTATTATGCCACAGTTCTATTTAGAGAAGGTCTTTTTTTTTTTTTTTTTTTAGATTTTGTGTTTTTGGATTATTTGATTTCTCAACATTGCTCTTTATTTTT